GGACTTGTTGCATCTCTCATCAATCAAAGTTCATAGTAAGTTGTAAAATGTGGTTAATTTGGTCGATTGATGTTTTATCAAATTTATTCACGTATTTCGTTTGCATGGTCACAACGAATAATTTAACGATTTTTTTATATTTCAAAATAATAGAAAATCTCCGACTGTAAATGAAAATAATTGCAATATGGTATGGATTGTACAAATAAACGATCCCAATCTCTCAACACATTCTTTTCTACAAACTGCTATCTTTTACCCTTGTGTACGTTCCTAGAGCACAATACCAATCTCTCCCCATAATTAGGCTGCATATCGTCAAAAAGAAACGGTTACGTGTAATCAGAAAATTGCTTCCACATTGCAAGGAAAGATTTTTGGATATCGGTATTGTTATCGAACGTAACCTCCGATTGGGATTGAGCAGACTCAATGGGAATGATATTCTTGATAACAACCAGGTATAGCTGAATTATATTCAAACAACGAAATGGGTATTTCATGGTAAAAATGAACCACAGGGATACGGGGGTTCAAGTCACAACTCCACAGCCTGGCTCTCGCTGATACCTGTGTGTGTGTCGTATGGAAACTTCTGGTTCATAATCTAGTCCATTATTCATCTAATGGAGGATTCATCTGATACAAGTAAAACATATTCCAAAAATAATTTGAAAATGTACGAAGGTGTATCAGCTCCATTAATCCAAATAAGGGTAACAAGTAATATATTAAATGATACAGGCAACTAACCGTTTCAAGTCAGTCGCTTTTGAAGTGTATTCGCCATAGGGTTTCATTCTAACGTGAAATAATGGACCATTCGTAGAGTGCACAAAAACGGTTGTAAAATTATGATTTCCTTACGATGTGTTGCATGAACGCACTTCAAATGGCGATATTTCCCTTGAAGGATTTTTGTTTTTGATCGGTGATGAGTCCTGACAAAAAATTTCGAACTTCATAATTAATTTCGAGAGTCTGGTGAATTTCGAAAGGTTATGGGGCTGTGTTTGTGTACACTTGTTCCAACAGGTGCCATTTCGCGAGGGATAAGCATTGGCATATAAATCCGGTTATCCGAAGAAATTGCTGTTATGTGTGTTATGTGTTCACGCGTGATGGTAAACTACTTACCGAGCTTCAGGTGCACACTAGATCGTAAGCCAGGGGGATTGAATTTGGTTTGCTACACTTCCACTTTCAACTCATTTCATTCGCACAAAGCGGGAATACCGGGATACGCATGAACATTTTTCGGAAACATAAAATTATGCAGTTAGTGATACATTTCGTGCAACAGCAACCTTAATTTGGAAATATAATTTAGTTTATATTACTATGCATGTCTATCGACATTTGCGAGTAAAGACCATTTATTCCGAGAAATGTCGGTCATTTTATTATTCTCCAAATCCTGTTACACTACTCCAATTAATGCCAACCGACATTTTAAGAAGGATATTTTAATATTTCGAAAGTTCAAGTCAAAATCAAAACAATTTTGGATGCAGAGAGTTTTCAGAGTTTATTTTTATAAAACTGTAACTGTTTATATGAATGAGTTGATGCCTGTCAAATCAAGTGGTTTACAGGACACGGTACAATTTTCGTATCAGGAAATTGCCTATTTCATCCATGATATCGCCGGTTGGAATGTAGTTAGGACCTGGACCAACTCCCACATATAGGCAGGAATCAGATATTGATGAAGCAAAACGAATGACAACCGTATCCACTCTAGAACACAAGCTACTCAGGAAACCTAGCAACGTATCTGTATCTGTTGTCAGTACAATATCCTCTGCAAATTAATGCCACTATCATGAATAGAACAGTCATATATATATATACCATTTTAAAGAAAAATCTAGAAAGATTGCCACTCTGACGAACACCGATTTGCATGGGAAAAGATAGCCAGAGGAAAGTACTATCAATTGAGTTGGAAACTACTCTCTGATTCAGTAAGACACACGATGGGTTTATTAGGAAGTGTTTGTGTTCTGTAATTTCACGGAAAGATGATATTCGGATTTATATAGCCTCAACTGGGTTTGCAGCCAGCCTGGATTTTATGCGTGAATTGCTTAAATTTGCATAAATTTGACGGAGTATGCTGCTAGCGAGAATTTCAGAGACAATCTTGATCAAAAAAACGCCTTTATGTTTTTCAAAGAGTGTCGTAAACTCCAAAATCAGGACTCAGCTTGTCAACCTAACAGCAGATAAGGACAAACCATTTGAGTAGAAAGTCTTACACACTTTTCGTAATTTATTTTCCGGGGACGTGCATTTCATATGGAGTGCTGATATCGACAGAATGTAGGGTTTATGATATATATATATATATATATTGTCGATGCTGCCAGTTGAACTCAGCTTCAAAATGTTCTCTTCATCGCTCATAACGACGTTGCAGATAATGAAAGTGTGCACCATTGGATTTCTCAATAATATCGCTTACGTCTACTTTCCACATGCCCTCGAGTATCATTTCAAGGGAAAAATTGCGAATGCGCCCTTACTTGATTCCTCTACCATCGCTCTGAATATGACTATCCACGTATCCTAACGTGCATTCATGAAGCTCTTAGCAATCTAACGTTTGTTAGTTTGGTGTGCTCTGTCGTATTTGGCATTCAGATGAGTGCCTAATAGGAAGTAGAGCAAGACAGCCAAAGTAGATGAGATTTATCATTTGTTCTTTGA